TCCCCCCCCCCCCCCCCCCTTCACTTATGGTGTTTAATGTACTAAAAGCTATTGGAACATGAAGTGATGAAACACAGCGATATTAACAAATAAATTGTTTCTCTCCCTAACTTCAGTGTCAGTTGGACATATAGAAGACTAGCAGTTAAAAGACCTTTCCACTTCTGTCCAGAGTACAAGTGGCTCTCTGGACATGGCATGAGCTCAGTGGCCTATTGATGGTTTTGGATTTGGCCTTGCACAGGTAACTGGCTTGTGTTGATGATGTCTGTATTCATTAAGCCAGAAGGCTTCAACAGGAGCTCATTTTGCTATGCTTCTTGGAACCAGGTCGGTGTAAATGGTGATGGAAGTTAGTGGCAGAAGCAGTGTGGAATGTCAGGCTGCCAGTTATTTACTAGCGGGGATCGGGAAGCACAATGCAGAGGGAAACCACCTATAGATTTAGTTAAGGAACCATGAGTTTGGGCCAGGTTTTTCATGGGCTTCCTGGCTGTCCAGTCATTGTTGGGTATGCTCTTAGCCATTGTCACACTGCTGTTGTTCTTGTCATGTAGGAAAGGAGGATCCAGAAATGAGAGATGGAAATGACCCTTGGCGACCCTTCTGAACTGTAGAAATATTTGATTTCTTTCTTTCCTTCTGCGCTTTTTTCTGAAAGAATTCAAGACAGGTACCTCATTAATAAGTAGGAAGGGGAGAAACTGAACCCAAGTGAAATCTTATTGGCAGTCTGGTCAAAGTGAGAAACTGGGTTTGAAAAAAAACAGCAACTTTTCTCTAAAGTCCCCAAGGGAAGCTGCTGTTGTGGGGAGGTGATTATGATGGTGTCTGTGATTCATTTGGCAGAAGGGAGTACTAGAGCTCTGGAGGACCCAAGAAGTTCAGTCCATACTTTTCAGAAATAGTACAAAAGACCATTAAAAAGACTGCAGCATTTGTGGAAGCGCAGCCTGGTTCCCCGAGCCCACCTTTCTACTACATTTCATCTGTAGCTATGCTTTCTCTCCCCTCCATAAGATCTGTGTTCTCCTGTATATGGTATGTATTCCTTTTCAATGTCCATTGCATCCTGTTTGCAACATTTGATCGCTAGGCTGAAGCTCTCACTGCAACAGTCTTAGTGGATCTGCTGTGAACACAATCATTCAACATCAGAACAGCAGTGATAGGCAAGCTTATTTGATTAATAGGAATTATTGTTCATTAACAGTTATCATTCCAAAGCATGTTATTACAACACCCGCAGGTGCAGACTGTTTAACAGTTACAGTTTCTGTCCAGTTACTTAAAATTTCAGACCAGAGAATCCTAGTTGGGGGAGGGGGGATCTATTATCTCATGCAGCCCATTTCTCATTCAGTGCAGGATTTTTCCTGCCAGTATATTTACTAGGACTTTGTCCAGTTTAGTTTCAAATGTCTCAAGTGATGAGGCTTCCACTACTTCCCTTGGGAGATTTTTCCAGATCTCAGTGTCAGGCAGATTTTACTAATGTTCAACCTAAATGTGACTTTCCCTTGTTGTAGTGATGGGAAGGCACAGCATTGTTTGATAGAAGATACAGTACAGAGGTAAATAGTAAAGCTTTATATGCCAGTTAGCATAAAACATTTGTGTCTGAGAAGTAAGCAAATGTCTCCTAAAAACAACCTTTTTCCTAGCAGATAATAGTTTTAGATTAGCTTGATATGTAGCCAGTCTTTAATGTGAGGTTCATTTACTTTAACAGTTAAGAACCTTGAAATAAAAGTCCCTCAGGATGAGTTGTTTGTGGAGAGAAATGCTCTTCAGGAGACATTTCCTCTTTTGCCGTAGCATAGTTACAAATGGTGGCAGGTATCTGGGCTGTGTATATAGTGTCATGCTGGTTAAATTGAATTCGTTTGTGCTCCCTACCTTTGTCCATTTGGTCTGGAAGGAGACAAACATCTGTGTCTGCAGAGATTTGAATTTGAATCTGATGGGGAAAAAAAATGAGAGACTCTCTTTTATGTTTGTGCCAAACCGTTACTTCAGATTGTGTCTGTCAGGAAAATTATTGTCAAGAGAGATTTTGGGGGTGGGAATGGGTTCCTGGAATTCTATCATGATCGTAGTTCATTCCACATCATCCAACTCTGAGGCCCTCCCCAGTTCCACTGCAAAGGCATATTCTGGGCTCGTGTTGGCAGGGTTGTGGATGTGGTCAGCTCATTTTGGCACATGACTCAAATACCAGCAAAGTATTGATCTGTACCCATTGTAAAAGTGACTGAAAAGAATGAGGGTCTGGCCTGAGAGATTATGTACATTTGCTCTATAGCTGTGGAGCATGCCATGCTTTTTGGGAAGGAAGCTTCCCAGTCAAAGAGAGATTGCACCCAACTTGCTCCTCAGTTTCTTGAAGCTCACTTGTGATGAGTACTCTTCTCCTTGCTGAGCCTGAGGAGAGATTA